TTTCAGTCCTTAGGGTCTCTTAGAAGCATTGGTCGAAAATCCCTTAATCACGGGGTCTATTAATACTTGTGGCCGCTAGGGTTTTAGGTGGAAACCCTAATATGACTGCTTAAGCCTTAAGCAGCCCATATACTCCTTCCTTAGAGCCCTTTGGACGAAATCTTATGGGCTTCCCCATAAATTTCGTCCACTCCACTCTATGGAGTCCATCAACCCAACTAGCAACTAACAGTTAATTGCAATATCAGTCCCCTTTATTAATCAGTCTCTTTTGATCACCAAATTAATACTAAATTAATTTCTGATCAATACTAATTAAATAATATGATTTCGAAATAATATATTAAACTTGTAATATATTAATAAAACCATTTTCGAGTACCAATTTATTATTCATATAATAAATTCTACTCTCTCCTCTCTTGTCATCCTATCAAGTTGCATGAGTGAAGACAACCCAAAAGGACCATGCTCATAATCGGGTCATGTACATACCAAAATAGTTATGGGCTTAGACACCTAATCCAACAGGAAGAAGTACAACAACTCGTACAACTATGGCACCAGTGGCTCCAAGGGCAGAAGGGTCATATGCAATAATAGCATAATTATGAACAGGGTGAAGACAGACCAGCTGAAAAAATTTAGTTAATAAGCTTAATTAAGAGATTAAGATGGAAGAATTAAGATTAATAGTTAAAAGTTAATTTCTCTGTTTCATAATCATACCTCTCATGGGATTTCTATAGGCAACAATATTCTTGTCAACTGCAACCCTAGAGATCTCAGCAAAAAAAAACCTTTTAGAAGAGTTAGGTGAGAAATACCCTGCTACCAACTGTATTTGATGTATCCTAAATGCTATTTCTTGTGGAAGGTCCTATAGGTTTGGTGTCAAAACCGTTAGGTGATAAGAAGCACCATTTCCATTTCCATATCTGATTCCAATGACGTCTTCTAGTGTATCATAAGGAGCACTAGCAACTGCCAAAAGCTAATAAAAATTAATAAATAAATTTTATGCTTTCTAAATGAGTAGATTAAGTACCTCATCAACATGCCTCAAGAAAGCAAATAGGGCACATGTAATGGCATGAGTGCCTGAGAAGAACTGAACTAAAGTGTGTTAAGTAAATTGAGAACCTAATAAAAATGGTGGGAAGAACAGATGAATGATTAAAAATGGTAAACCTATGAACGAACAATTGTTGATTCAGCACCAAAAATTTCTACAAAATCTTGGTCAAGGGCTTCTCTACCACCTGCTTGCTCATGGCCACAAGCAGTGTAACCGCTGAAGTGCTACATTCATATAATGGGAAGAATGTTTTAGGAAGGTAGATATAAGTTACGAAATTGACGATGAAGAAATTGACAATTTGTATTATCGATGGTTTAAAGTGTAGATGATTAATCATACATGAGATCCGACCATTGCGTTCTGAAAAGCTTTAACCTAATCTCCATTGTGAACAAATATGTGTCGTTTATATTCTAATCTACAACAAATTATACCCAATGTATCTCGTTCCTTTTTCTATAATGCCAATATGGATGCAATTTGGTAAATATTTGGTGAGAAAATGAGATTCAAATATGATAACAAAGACATTCATAGCCATTTCTGTTGATTTCCAACTCGAAATCATAAATTATGTTTCGACAAAAGTGTCGAATTTGACATGAGAGTGTGGGGAGGTTTCAAGAAGAACGGAGCAGAAGCAACAACACAAAAGATAACATTAGGTATCGAGGGCTAATCGAGTTCGATTAAAAAGGTTATAAAACTCGTAATAAAGGAAGACGAACCTATGGAACAAATAAAGAAGCATAATGTTGATGGTGATTGACCATGAAGTTTCGAGACCTTGACTGTAATGGAGCTGTTGTTCTACTTGATATGGAGATCACTCTAAATTTGTAGTTGTGATACAACTCTTCCATTGATTGAGAGGCTGAGAAAGTACTTGAGGAACTAAAGATCGAGAGAAGTAGATGGAGGGTTTATGAACCGAAACCCTAGTTCCAACAATAGTCGTGGTTCCAACAACTGTACCCCTTTGATTTCAATTTCATGGTCTGGTGACAAAAAACCTTCGATTTCACTAAGAACCAGAACCTTAGTTCCAACAATAGTCGATTTTGTGGCCCTATATAGAATTTTAGGCACGAGACTCCTTGATTTCTGCCGACTGGTATGGGAGAAAGGAGAAGCGCATCGTGGTTCGTTTTTTGGATATTTGACTGAGCGAATTAGAGCGGGGGCAGAGAATGGGTGGAGACATCGGTCGGAGATCAGAGATTTGGTGATGGTGTGATGCTGTTGTGGGAGAAAAGAGCAGTGACGGTGAGAGAGACATCGTGGCTCTCCGATTGAAGGTTTTTTTGGTATTTGATTGTGTGTGAGAGAGAGAGAGAGAGAGAGAGAGAAGAACGATTAAAAGAAGGTAGAGGAGAGCATGACGGCTTTTCAAACTTTTGGAATTTCATTTCCCCCGCGAGCTTCTAAAACGCGTGTTTATGAAAAAAATATAAAGCGACGTGCGCACACGACACACATTTTATCATATGCGCCCTCCATGTTTTTTTTGACACTAATTTTAGGGCACGCACAAATGCGTGTCCTCTATCCTTCAAAATTTATAAGAGATGACATTATTGTTAGGACGCATGCTTTTGCATATCGTAAATCACTGCGTGTCATTGTTTGTGCGTCATTAAAGGCTGTTTTTCTAGTAGTGAATATAATCAAAGGTGATCTGAGGGTCTATGATATTAGAATAGGATAACATATAACATATAATCACACAAATTTCAGCATAAGGGCATTTTAGTCAATTAACCTATATTAAAAAAGGAAATTTTCGGATTTTTAGGGATAATTAATTCCTTTATTTTTAAAAATCTGAATATTTTAAATTAATTCAAATTTAAAAATCCGATTTTATTCTATCAGAATGATAGAATGCCAACCATAAACTAGTAAATATATTTTTCGATTTTATTATGTCAGAATGACAGAATGTCAACCATAAACTAGTAAATACATTCTGAAAGAATACACAAAATCGATTCTTGAACTAATAATATACCAAATAATTACATTGTATGATTGTGATTCATTGAATAATAACAACATTCTGAAAGAATAACAAGTATAATTCTTGAAAAATTTCAACATTCTTAAACAATGAGTGTGATCATTCTTTAATTCATTCTTCAAGCCGTTCCCATCAGGTCTTCAAGCCATTCTTCAAGCCATTTCTATCACAAATTCATTGCTAAATATTTTGTAGCGATACACTTGTAACAACTACACATTAAACATACAAATAATTAACTACAATTCTATAAGAATACAACAATAAAATTCTTACAGAATAAACTATTCTTGTAGAATGGTTTTGAATATTCTTAAAGAATTTGTATTATCAAGAATATACCCAACGAACAAAACATTTGAAATATAAATGCATGAAAATATCATGTTAACACAAAAGGTGGCTAAGAAAAAAAAACAATTAGAATATATAAAGCATCTTCGTAAGGGAACAATAAGTAGGAAGAAGAAGACCCTCAAAGGGTAAAAATGTCCAAATAGATAGTATCTATCCCACCAGGTGTAAAAAACCACCTTTTTTGCACCTGCAAGTTGTGTTAAGAGCCTATCTAAGTTAGAACATAGTGTTAAGATACAAATCACGAGTCTTTACAATAATTAGTGATGCTAAGAAACACATCAGTACTTACGTGTATGTCTGTGATCACCTACTATTCAAGGGAAAACGGCTCAAGCTGGGCTAAGTAATTCATACATTCAAGTGTTATTGTTCAATGGATATATGTTTACTTCAGAAGCAATTATTGTTCAATAGAGATCTCTTCACAACAGAAGCAATCATAAAGTATCTTCAAAACTTGGGTTTTACTTAAATGTTTGCACAATATGGAAGTCAAAGAAAGATATAGAATAACAGAGCCAGAGGTAGTGTGTGTGTGAGGGGTCTTACACGGGCGACGACGTCGGCATCGACAACTGGAAATCCATTAGCTTTGAAGAGGTTCGAAACAGTACTTTTCCCCGTCGCAATTCCTGGATCTTAGACAATCCATCTAAAGTGACAAAGAGGAACAGATAACAGTTGTGTGTATGAAAAACGAAAGACATATACTTGAAGAGCTTGAAGGCTAGAGAACTTGAAATTGAGTTTTTCGCCTGATTTAAAATCAACAGACGATGCTGAAGAGGAATTCTGCTTGTGAAACCTATTCATCATCTTCTGCTTCATCATCTCCTTCATTCTGATTAGCAACCAATCTTAGCAGCCAATCTTGGCATTGATGGAGATGCATGATTCTCATTAGCAGCCAATCTTCAGAATCGTTTGAACTTAGAATCTTCAGAATCAGATGGTGATTTTAGGGGTTATTGCGGCTGTGGTGGTCGTGGTGTTCGATGACTTTCATGATTTAGGGTTAGGTTATGAAGAAGCGGAGTAGAAGAAGAAGCCAACCGGGAGACGAGATAACTTATAATAGGGAGATATTGAGGACTTGGAGGACTTTCGTGATTTAGGGTTTGGTTCTTGATGATCGATTGTAGAAGAAGAAGCAGAAGCGGTGGATCAGAAATGATGATGTGTTCTATTTAGGACTAATGTTCTAAATTTATCTTTGCTTCTTGCGTAATATCAGGAATATTAATTATCTACCATAAATAACTATGCAAAGATTACAATAATACCCTTAAATGATTTATTTTTTCCTAAATTTCTATTGGTGCATTCATGCACACAATAGTTGCTAGAAACATTTGAACCTAGCTCTCTCTCTCTCTCTCTCTCTCTCTCTCTATATATATATATATATATATATATATATATATATATATATATATATATATATATATTATTAAAGAGTCGTGGAAATTTGGTTTACAATAAAAGTTATTATTCCGCTTCATTGCATGAGTGAACAACTAGTTTTAATGTTTGTCAAGATTAGAAGCTTGTAGGAATGCTTTGCTCATGCTTGAAGAAATTACTAGGATCAACTAATGTTTTCACCTTGACCAGCCTGTTGAAATTAATTTTGAAGTACTTGGGACCCCAAGAACTACTTGCTTCAGCATAGGTTGCACCTACTCCCAAATCAAGATCATTATAGTTCAAATAAGCTGCTCTAGGAGAATCAGAAACATAAGAAGCCATGTAGTTGTATAAGCTTCTAATCCAACTTATATGTGGTGACGTTTCATTGCCATCCCACACAACCAGATATTCAATCATATATAATGATCCGAGTCTGTGTGGGAATGGAATTGCCGATTCCGGAATCTCATCCATCTTTCCTCCATACGGTGTTAACACCAGAAGTGCCATTCCTGCTTCTATTTTGTCGTTATAAAACTCCCATAACCCTTCCAATCCCTCTACTGAAATAGGATGTGTTGCAAAATCTGATTTCCCTTTGAAGGAATTTTTTGGCATGGCAGTTCGTTTGAGTAGTATCTCGGGAGATTCTCCGTTTGTGAAACTAGAACCGATTACCACGGATTCAATCCAGCTCATTTCGGTACAGTCTTCTCTTTTCAAACCCAATTCCGGGAATTCTAATTCCATCAGTTGAAGTAATCTGTCAATCCCACCGAGGAAAAGTGTTTCAAAAGTTGCTCTTATTGTTCGGTTTCCCGTGTTTGGATCGATCACACTGAACATTAAGACCCTAATGTCAAGATCTTTGTGAATCTTGGGTGCAACGTATTGCCATTTGTGGATAATTTTGGTTAGATTTTGCTCCAAAGTCCTGGCGATTGTGGATACGGTCACAGTTTCCGGGACAGGAACTAGCTTTATCTTCCATGAAAGAATGATTCCGAAGCTAGAACCTCCTCCACCTCTAATAGCCCAAAAAAGATCCTCCCCCATTGTTTTTCTATTAAGAATCTTTCCATGTACATTGATGAATTGAGCATCGATGACATTGTCGGCTGCAAGGCCATATTTCCTTCTCATTGCACCATACCCTCCACCGGAAACGTGTCCACCAAGGCCTAATGCATACCATACACCTCCAGGGAATCCAAGATTCCGACTGTTCTGTGCAATTGCATAGTAGAGTTCACGTAGAGTTGCCCCAGCTTGAACCCACGCGGTGGCGCTTTGAGTGTCGATTGTGATGGATCTTAGATTTATAAGATCAAGAATCACAAATGGGAGTTGTGAAACGTAAGATAACCCTTCAAAGTCATGGCCTCCACTACGAGTTCGGATCTCAATTCCATGGTTCTTGGAGCAGTGAACGACTGTTTGGATTTGGGATTCATCAACTGGTGTAATGATGAAGAGAGGTTTTGGAGTTGAAGGTGACCTGAATCTTAAATTGTTCATGGAGAATTGTAAAACAGATGTGTATGAGGAGTTATTCTGGGTGTAAATGACTTCAGAGATTGAGGTTGAGTTATCAGAATTATGAATAACGCACTCAAGAAAGTCACCATTGGTATTCGTTGATACAACTTGATCTTCACTTAGCACTAAGAAGAAGAGGATTAAGAAAAAATACGGTGTTTTAAGCTTCATTTGTTTTCGTGTAGGAAAAAGGATATGAGAAGATATATAGATATAAGCACTCAAGATTCTTTGGCTACTTGTTGCAGGTTATGTGGAGAGCATCCCCATAAGAAGCTGAATTGGGAATGAAAGTTTGACTTTGAGGGTTTCTGAAAGCAGCCTCTAACCTCATGCCGGAAAAGAGGTTTGATTTTGAACAAAATCCTTATCTTATAGTACTTTTCATTGTTTCAAGATACACATGGGTTTCGTGTAAAAGTTATCCATTCATACACGTATTAAACATTGAAAGTGCTTTTTATATATCAAACATGCAACACAACTGCCTCAAACTTCCAAGATAAAATCTATTTACAAAATATGATCGCTTTTAGTCGGCATAAAGTTTTTATTTCTTGTAGACAGTGAATTTTATGAACAAAAAAAAAGTAACATAAATTTGTTTCACAAATTATGGAAAATAAATCAAACTTATGAGATATTTGTAGTTCAATTTGCATTATTAACAAAGAATTAAGTGATTAGAATAACAAATATTTATAGATGTGCAAACACGGGCTTAAAGGTAAATATTTATAGATATGTGTAAACACAGGCTTAAATATATTAGAGTAAATTACTTGGTTCCTATTTTGTCAAAATTATATGTTTGGTCCCTAACTTTTTTTTTTACACTCGGATCGTCCCTGTGGTTTGATTTTGTTGAGGTTTTCTTCCCTATGGTTTGGTCAAAATTGCACATTTGACCCCTAACTTTATGTATGTGACGAACGAAAAATACAACAAAATCAAACCACAGGGACGATCTGAGTGCAAAAAAAGTTAGGGACCAAACGTACAAATTTGGCCAAGTCATAGGAACGATTTCAATCATTTACTCAAGATATTAATATGCGAAATAAACTGTCTAATTTGACTTTACAAATAAGTTTTTAAAAGTTGAGATACAAACATTATTCAAACAAAAATATTTTATTTGTTTATTTAATGTAATAAAAGAATTATACTCATTGA